ACACACACACACACACACACACACACACACACACACACACACACACAAACACACACACACACCTCGCAATGCACACACATATGTGTTCGTCTGTCTATGCCAGGATTTCTTAACTGACACACGCTCTATCGCATTATTTCTGGGCATCAACACTCTAGGTCTTTGTGTTTTTGGTCCCTTGAGGGCATATTTATTCTCTGGGCAGAAATTTGTAATGAACCTGTTACATGGGCTCGGGCATAAGCCTAGCCCCATTCTAGTGGGACCTCGCTCCAGGCAGGTGCAAAATCATGGGCATTTAGCCTAAAAAAAAAAAGAAAAAAAAAAAGAAAAAAAAAAAGAAAGAGAGGTCATCGCATACTCACGCTTGGGAGTTTCTTTGATGCATGTGACAGGAACTACGCCCCTATTCAGATCCCTGCATGTGACTGGAATTACCTATTCAGATCCATACATCCTGCACTCAATGGGCCCTTCCTCACGCATCCAGGACCTGTGAGACGATTTAAATAAAAAAAAACTTTCTATGTCTGGCCTAGCGCAAGTTCCCTCTCTGGCCGTGGAGAGTTCAAAAGAGGATAAAACACATAGTAAACAGATTCGTTTTTTCCCTTTTTTTTGGCTTTCTTTTTTCTTTTTAAACAGATTCTCTGGCTGTCGGGAGTTCAAGCCTCTGGATCTATACAGTCTACAGTATAGATCCGAGAATCTGTTTAAAAAGAGAGAAAAAAAAAAAAAAAAAAAAAAAAAAAAAGAATCTGTTTACTATGTGTTTTATCCTCTCTCATCCAAGATCTAGATTCAAGAATCCAGCCAATGAAACAAGCTTGGGGAGAAAAAAATCGAAATATAGAACCAAAAAAAACTTAAAAAAAGAGAATAATCCAGGCAAGTGGGAATGCAGTGCAATGCACCCTTGCCCGCATGCATGTGACATCCAAATCTAACAAAGTTACAAAACAGAAAAGCACAGAGCGTCCTGCGCATGCCACTCATGTTGTGGATGAATAAAGGCACATGTGAGTTCAAGATACCGGAATCCGAATCAGGGTGAAATTCCGGTCAGATGCATCTACGAATGGGTTTTGCCGGCTCAGTGGCATGGAGCACAATTAGGTAAAACACCTGACCACGTCGATTCTTATTGGTGCACATGGGTTGCAGATCCATCACACAGTTGATTCTCGACTGTCCAGATCCAATGCATGTTGGCGGCGGAACAATCAATTGCCTAATGAATGAATGCCAAGGTGTGAGACCCAAAAACGAGAAGAAAAGGAAAAATGGTAGAAAGAGTAAACGAAGAGGGCAATTTGCATCTAGAGTTCTGCACGGGATGGGCTGAAGACAGGCGTCTTCACTGTGGGAGGTCCGTGGGTGGGGATGGGACTGGCCGGAAGTGCCTCTTCCAGCCTGGATTGGCTACGGAATTCATGTGAGGGACACTGGGCCCGTTTCCCGGTTTTATAATAAATTATTTTCTTTATAAAAAAAAAAAAAAAAGAGAACAAGAGAAAATGAACAACTTGAATGCAATAAGAGAGAAGAAATGAAAAAAAGTAAAACTAAAGAAAAAACAAAAGAGTGAAAGCAGACGAAAAAAAAAACAAAAGATGAAAAACGTCCAAGCGATGGAAATTTGAATTTTGAGAGAAAAAAACTAAAATAAGATGAAGAATGTCCTCATCATCTACGTTACCAGAGTCGCCTGGGGTGAAGTCCCACCGCCCAAGTTTAAGTTTAGAAAACGCAACCGTGTGACACCATTTTGACATTAATAAATTCGAAACAAGGAATTAAAAAACTGAAAAAAAAAATGCTAGAAACAGCTTTTCTCCTTATTTTTTATTAAGTAACTCGGAGAAATGAAACACGCCTGGCACAGTCGGAGTGAATGTCTCCGTGGAAAATGGATACTTCCCCTGGTGAGGGGACAGGAGGTCACCATTCGTAAAATGAACAGGGACAACATGGATGGCCAGATGCGTTCATTGCCCAAAGAAGGAAGAGAGTTTGATGCGAGAGAGCCAAACACAGCTGTCAGAGTTCCTCCGTTTCAGGGTGTATTGATGTCTAAAAAAAAACAAAAACGAAAGGCACATAAGTTGAGAAATGTACCTTTTTTTTTTTTTTTTTTTTTTTTTTTGTTGAAGAATCGCACTCGTGGTTACAGATAGGAGTAATGATAAGAGCATACACTCCTATCTGGAGCCCCCTACCCTCAGTAGGGTAGTTTTCTCAATGGAAAATGGCTTCCCACCCAAACCAAAATGGCCAACGCATACTACAAAACGGATTTCACGTCAAAGAAAAATTCTACAAAATGACCAAATCTTTTTTTTTTTTTTTTGTACATGTAAATGTCACCACTCGGGTAATGGTTAATTGTAACATTGCCCCTCCGATTTCCCTTCAGTTCTCGGTCTGACAAGGTGACCCCATTGCGCCCTTTTTGTTTGTGATCTAATAGGTTATTCGCCTGTATTTTGGTACCCTTAGATTCTCAATACATCAACGGCAGAGCTCCGTCCCACCATGCCACACGTGATACAAAACTCAACTTCGGCGGTGGGACTTCACCCCTGGGACCACTTGCCTGGCCGGGTCCAAAATGAATAAAAATCAAATAAAAACAAAAAAGATTATTGAATGTTCTTTAGTATCTTTACTTCTTTTTTTAAATCGGCGAAGAGTTTTGATCTTACCCTGAGGCAAAGACGTTGAATTTGGGTCAGGTTACTCAGGTATTCATCTCATCTTAATAGGCTGGTGTCCTGCTGTCATCTGAATTCTTGAGGCAGAATGGTGAGCATTGCTCCACTGGGGCTTCGTCATGGAGGGCGGGGAAGCATCCGTAGAGGGTGTATGCAGAATTGAGGGAGGGGCTTACCCTAAATCGCGCGGAGGTGGGTGGGTTTTGCGGGGCTTTTTGGCCCCTGCGGCGTGGGAGGTGGGGTAATCCCCTGGTTAGTGAAAACAACATTGTGGTGGGAGTTGGTGTTTTTGACTGAAGAGTGTGAGGAGGTGCTTTCCGCTTTGAATCGCAAGGAGGTGGGTGGGTTTGCGGAGTCTCTGTCAGCAGTTTGGGGCCTGTGGGCACAGACCCCTGCCGCGCGGGTGGCAGGGCGGATTGGCAGGGGTTGGTTGTAACTCTGGATGAATAGACGATTGGACCTGTTACTCAGGAGCTGAAACTGGGGGTCCCCCGTTAACCACGTGTAGGTCTGGACAATTGACGGTATACTTTTGGGCTCTCTTATAGCAGATTTTTCTCCACCCCTGCGATAGGTATTTGACGCCACGCGGGGAGCTTTGTTGTGTACCATTTGGAAAGCTCGAAATGAGGCCCTTTGGCATGGAGACCTGACTACTCTCGTCGAGTGGCAGCTCCATGCCAAACAAGCACTTAGATTGGCAATACAGATAGATTGGCGGCAAAAAGTTTCCTTCGCTTCGTCATCGCCCTCACGGCCCAGGGGTATTGCTTAATTTCAGGAACAATGGGCAGCTCACCCTTTGTTGGTCGGAGTAGATAGAGTGTCTTCTTCTTTTGCACTTGGTGCCTTTTTGTGTCCCGCGTAGGGTTTTTTGGTGGTGGTTTTTCTTTTGTCTCCTCTTGTCAGGGCCGGTGCTGGCGTTGAGGGATGGGTGCGAAGACCGTGTATACAGGGACGGGTCGCCGAGCTCCCGGTGGGGCGGGACAACCCAGCTGCCCTTGTTATTGGCTACTGTGCTGATGTAATTTGCCTTGGGCACTGGGGCCTTCCAATAAGGGGGGGGGGAAACACATCTTGTCGCACTTCTTTTTTTCTTTTTTTTTTTCTCTTTCATTTTTCAAATTCTTTCAATTCACCTTTGCTACCTACCCCTTTACAAGTCTTGTCGCACTTCTCTCCTCTCCCACCCTTTTTTTTTTTTTTTTTTTTTT